ACGTCTGAGGAACAGTGGAGGGTGCAGGGGGGAATAAACATGGAAGTGAGCTGTAGCTCACGAAAGCTTATGCTCAAATAGATTTGTTAGTCTCTAAGGTGCCACAAGTCCTCCTTTTCTTTTTGCGAATACAGACTAACATAGCTGCTACTCTGAAACCTTTATTTAGCTAGTTTATGATACTGAACTACCAAACCACACAGTGGCATAACCCTGCTATCCACTTAACTTATAAAGGAGATTTCACTGCATGCAGAGTCTGTTTGTTACGCACAGAATATATTCCTCAAAAGTAACAAGTGTTTCTGTTTCCTGCTTAGAAACACTCAACTGCTATTCTTTAAGCTCACAAGCTGTGATAATAGGCAGTTGAAGTATTTCTATAATTCCCCCATAAAACAGATAATATTTGAGGTATGACTATAATCCATAAAAGCAAGGAAACTAAAGGATATATTGTGCCTTTCAGGCACAGACAACACTTGGGGAAGGTACAGAAAGCGCTCCAGGAGGCCAGAACCCTGGGGGAGTGGGAGAGATGATGAGCACTGCACAGTCTTCTCCAAGAGTACAGAATCTAACTGCTTCTGCCCCTGACCAGATGTGCACCCCTTTACTCTCTCCACACCTGTCAAGGTCCCAGTGGTGCTAGCTTTGCATTGCACAATCCTTGTGCCCTGAACTCCTTGCGCCCAGACCCTGCCCCCTTTTGTACCCCCACAGGGGCTGAACACGTTTGTTGCTGAAATTCTCTCCTAAACCTGTGATGCTCTGGCTTTATAGGAAACACTGTAAGAAAGGATCACCTCTGACACGGTAAGCAGACCTTGGAGGAGTTTCTACTTGGAACTTGTTTACACTAATATTAAGTTGACAGCAAGGTGGGGTGTGGAACGGGAGTAGATCAAAGTGCATCAGGGACCTGTTAGTGTGCAGCAGCAGGGTCCTCACAGATATTTAGTGATCAGCAGGCTAGTGTGGGGTAGATTTACACCCTGTTTGCAGCAAACTAAGTGTTCATGTAGACAATCCTTTGCTGTAAAGTCCACATGGGATTCAACATCAGAAGTAAAGGCAACCGAGGACCATCTCTCACTTCAGGCTTTTCCCTGACAGATGATCTCTCTTAGATGCCTAGAACCCCAAAGACATAGGGCTGTACAGGCCAATGCCAATGATCTGAATTGCGCATTGAAACACACAAAGTCAAGCAGACTTTGGAGGACAGATGAAATTCTCTCCTTGCATACAGCTTGGCTGAGTAAGCAGGCAGCCAAATGCTGCCCTAGCTGAGGTTTCTGAATGATGTTTGGGTGCAGCTCCCTATTGACTGCACTGCATTATTCCAGTCTGGATAACTGCAGTGGAAGGAACAGCCATGCAAGAAGGAACAAAGCTCTCCTGGACACTATTGCTACCTGGATACTAGAAACCCCCAGATAATATATCATTAGGGCAAGAGGCAGATAGATCCCCTCTATTGAAGGGGATAAATTGAACAGTTGCTCTGCCCCAACCCACTAGTCTCATCTCTTGCAGCCTCCATCCTTGGCTCTCTGATAGATGTTAGGAAAGCCAAAGTCCTGTACTGCAGTGAGTAATGCAGCCTAAACTTATATTTGTCACCCCCTAATCAGCTCCCACAGCAGTGACCAATCCATTCCAAATCTGAATGATCTTATCCACGAAGTAGCCAGAAAATGTCCAGAAAGAAACATGCACCAGTGTGTCCAAGTCAAGCCAAACTGAATTCACCCATGTGTTCTCCATCCCTAACAGACCCAGCAATCGGGTCTCTGCATATGCTATGGTGGACGAGGACATTTTTTATCTTTACCACCATTAGAATGCATAAAAGTGACCTGTCAGGATAGGGCAAAGAGAGCAGATATCTGGGAATCACCATGACAATTGCAGAGGGCAATATATTATTGTCATTATGGTATGGTCCACTGGCTGAACAGCATTCTCCCCAGTTTCACCAGGCACTAGCCCTGGAGAGGGCTCAAGAATACCACAGAGAAGAATTCTACATTGCCAGGGAGATGGACAAAGTGAGTAAGTCTCCTATACCTCTCTCCATACTGTACAGAGCAATGAAGGCTATTCCTGAACTCTCTGCTGAGGCATTATCATGCTGGCAGTTTTCTGCTGAACCTCAGTAATGGCGTTTATATCTGTTCTCACTAAGTAAATGATATTATTGTATTTCATATCACCCAGCCAGCAAAATCACTAATGTGATTCCAAGGAAAGTTTTTCCAATACAAGATACTGTAGCCCTTGCAGAAAAATTGGATAGTGCTTCCCTGTACTTTGGCAGATCAATTTTCTAATCCAGCTCACAGGGCAAAGCTAGCTGGCATCTTGGTATACACTGTTACTGCTGGCCTTGGTAATGGAGGAGCACAGAGGCAGAAGCTGCCCATAAATCCACTCAACTGTGGGGGCCTAGAACTAATCAACACCTCCCACAAAGCAGGCAGGAGGAAGCAAGGCCAGGGTGCCTGGAAGATGTGCATATCCAGCTTCATTGTTGAAATTCCAACCAGAACCTCTGACAAGGGCAAATTGCCTCACAGACACAGCCTTCCTCACTGCAGCAGTCTATGGGTGACTCAAGTTTACAGTATTCTCAAAGGAGATGCATACACTGGGTATATTCAGGTTACAAGGTGCCAGGCCATGAAACATGGCTGGCCAAATCCTATAGTAATTTCTCAGTCACATTAAGTTTTCTGAGTCCAGGATTTTCGTGATTATATATTGTTCATTCTATCTCTGATTGCCAGATAGCAGATCCTATTGAGAGATTAAGGTTTTCTTGAAAAACAAGGAAATGGAGCACTCTGCCTACCACAGCCCCCTGATGCTGCTCTAAATTGAAATCAATGGAGTTACACCGATGTAAGATTGGTGTAACAGAGAAGGAGGGTCAGGCCTGGTATAATCCCTAATGCCAGAAAAACTAATTTGAAAGAAAGTCTTAAAATAATATTCTGGGCAAGGTTCTACTTTACATTTCATATATATGGTTCTGACACCTTGATCACGTACTGTTTGGCTTAGCTATTCTACAAGAGTTTGCTTTGTTTCAGGGTGTGATTTTAATCATTCTCTTGAATTTTGATTAATCCCAGAACTGGAATGTCGATGGTGGTTACTCCTGTCATTCATTTTGTGTGACCCTTTTCTCCAGTAGCTAAAAACCTGCTTTGAGAAAGCAGGCTCGGGAGGCCTTCCTAAGTCAAGAGTTGTCGTAATTGCCAAGTGATAGTTAAATAATATGCATTCTCATTTCAGTTTTAGGACACATTTAGGGCATCATTACTTTTACTTACATAATTTCTGCTCTTTCTGATTTCAAGAAGTCCTCATAATTTTTCTTGATTTGCCTTGGGAGAGCAATCTGTAGAAGAGGGAGAGGTAATTACAGCACTTATGAAAATGTCAAACACAAATATTTGGCAAGCCATGCTGTCAGTAAACCAAATCTCCATCTTTGTTTAAACACTACTGTGGCCACTCTAGCCACTTCGATCAATCTTTGGATGGGACTAATCTACCATACCTTACTCTGATGAAACTGCCAATGGTAGCAATAGGAGTTTTGCCTAAGACAAGACTGCATGATTGGACCTAATGTAATGTAAGCCCTTTGATATGTTGGCAACTTATTGTTGTGCTATTTAAGCAACATGTAACCCTTCTTTTAGGCATAGGTTGGGTGATGGGCATACTGGACAGTGGCCATGGGGCTGCAGGCAAAATCCTGTCTGAGCCAAAAAGGCAGTGTACGGGATTTCTTCAGTGGTGTTGAGCCAAATCATACATAATTCAAAGAGTTTTACTCAAGTATAAAAGTTTAATTTGAACTGCATTTTTCCCCTTAATGGCTCAGGAATACTCCAGTAGCAGCAACAGATACAAGGCCTCACTGTCAGAGATGTATCCTTAAGGAGTATCTCTGGCTAAGCAAGGAACTGTTTGGGGAGTAGATGGATCTGGTGGCAATAAGGTCGATATGGATCCTGAATGAAGAGCCAGCAAAACTGTCATGATAGAAAAGGCCTGTGAAGTGCTGAGAGCCTCAGGCATGGTTCTGAGTGCCTCACCCTGCTCAAGTGAGAATTGAGGAATTCTTCACAGGATTGGGCCACAAAATGATCAAGTTAAGATGACCTATCAAGGCCAGTTTGATTTCCAATCCTTTGCCATAGGGTTCAAACACACACACACATGCATGCGAATGAGCAGGGGAATCAAGTGAGCTGTAACAAAGTCCCTTTTATACCTTCTTTTTTCCCTTTCTGTCATGGAAAAGGGAGAGGAAAAGGCTGGGGAAAAGAAGAGGAAAACAAAAGGGGGAAGGGGAACTAACTGGAAGCCAAAACAAAAAAGGGTTTTTTAGTAAAAAGAAAAACACACAACAAATTTTTGAAAAAACGAGTATTTTCCACACCAAAACAAGTTTTTGTAAAAAAAAAAGGGGGGGGGGGCATTTTTCATCAAAAAAAAATTTGACAGACTATTTTGACCAACTCCAAACAGTTCCTGTCTCTTCTATACAGAGCAACTAAACCCTGGCTAAACACAGTGGTACAGGGCTGGACTGAGTTGACAGGCTGACTAGATTGAATTAGGCACAGACAACATAGGAGTTCACTCTTTGGTTTCTTGAACTTTAATGAAGATAGTTCTGCTACAGCACGCCTGAAATGTAGCTACAGCTCAATCAAACATTAAAATAAGGCTAAATCTACCTCCCGTTTCAGAGTAGCAGCCGTGTTAGTCTGTATCTGCAAAAAGAAAAAGGAGTACTTGTGGCACCTTAGAGACTAACCAATTTATTTGAGCATAAGCTTTCGTGAGCTAGAGCTTGATGAAGTGAGCTGTAGCTCACGAAAGCTTATGCTCAAATAAATTGGTTAGTCTCTAAGGTGCCCCAAGTCTTCCTTTCTACCTCCCGTGAAACTAACTGAACTTTTCTGTCTCCACAGCAAACATCCTGACAGTCATCATCCTGTCGCAGCTGGTGGTTCGCAGGCAGAAGTCCTCCTACAACTATCTTTTAGCACTAGCTGCTGCTGACATACTGGTACTTTTTTTCATTGTCTTTGTTGACTTTTTGCTGGAGGACTTCATCTTGAATAAGCAGATGCCTCAGATATTGGACAAAATAATTGAGGTATTGGAATTTTCTTCCATACATACGTCCATTTGGATTACCGTGCCATTAACAATTGATAGATACATAGCAGTATGTCATCCGCTTAAATATCACACTGTCTCCTACCCAGCTCGTACTCGAAAAGTCATTGTGTGTGTGTATATCACCTGCTTTTTGACCAGCATTCCCTACTACTGGTGGCCCAATATTTGGATTGAAGACTACATAAGCACATCTATACATCATGTCCTTATCTGGATCCACTGTTTTACTGTTTACTTGGTACCGTGTTCCATTTTCTTCATTCTGAATTCAATCATTGTGTACAAGCTCAGACGAAAATGCAATTTCCGACTGAGAGGATATTCCACAGGGAAAACAACAGCCATTTTGTTTACTATAACTTCTATTTTTGCCATACTTTGGGCACCAAGAATAATCATGATACTGTATCACCTCTATGTATCACCTTTAAACAACACTTGGTTGGTACATATTGTCTCAGATATTGCCAATATGCTAGCACTGTTGAACACTGCAATTAATTTCTTCCTCTACTGTTTCATTAGCAAGAGATTTCGCACAATGGCAGCTGCGACACTAAAGGCTTTCTTTAGGTGTCAGAAACAACCAGTTCAGTTCTATACAAACCATAACTTTTCAATAACTAGCAGCCCTTGGATTTCCCCTGCCAATTCTCACTGCATCAAAATGCTTGTTTACCAGTATGATAAAAATGGAAAACCTATAAAAATATCACCATGAAAAGAAGGATTGTTGGTGTCTCTGGATGCATCTTCTTTTCAAGCCGTTACATCACCAGGATGTAAACTGCTGACATGGCTATTTTTGAAAGTGGTCAGTTGATTTCATTTCCCTGACAGACTAAAGGCAGATCAGACTGTAGGCAGAGAATGGGAGTACTTCATCTGGGGAGTCGGAATGAGAAGGCAAAATGCCTCTTTCCTGTTACATAGCATTTTGAATATGCTTTGGAGTACAAGTCTTTATGTTAATTTGCTATCAAGTGTCCATGTGCAAGCATTGGTGCAGTACAGTTGTTGGGGGAAAAGCCACGCCGAAGTTGTTTAATTGCAACCATAAAAAAACTCCTGTGACCATGTAGTTGTCTTCACTATTGACAAAGTGAATGCTTTACGTACTGTGGAAGGTATCATTTGCACTGCGTGCACTTGCCTAAAACGATGTGTCATTTCTAACATGAAATATCGCTACACGCAGTCCCTGCTATTGAGGACTTTCTGCAGTGAGCAATCTGGAAGACATTTGAACTGTGACAAGCCCTTCCAAGCTCACTTGAACTCCAGGCTTGAACTCAAGGCTCAAGGACGGATATTTCACCTGTTATAGTCTTGGCATGAAAAGCAATCCTGCAAGCTGCCAATATTTATATGCTTTACGTTGTTTTATCGAAGATAGCGGCCAGAGGAGAGGAGTCTGAAAGGAAGGGGAAGGAGGTTTCTTCAGCCAAGAACAAAAGTAGAATATTTCTCCAGTGACTTTAATTAGACTCTCCAAAAGCCCATAAATTCGGGGCCCAGTCCTGCAAGGTACAGCGGTCCCATGGGGCCCGATTCTGTGAGGTGCTGCATGTACACTGAGCAACATTTTGTAATTAATTTCAGGGAGATTTGGGTTGGGAGGCCCCTGGGTGTGTGAGCCCTCTCTGCAGTTACCCCAGAGTGTCTCTTGGGGCTGACCTGGTTCCTGGAGTCCCAGCTCTCTAGCCACAACATGGAGATGGGGTCCTCCCCTTGTGATGTTGCTCCCCTTCCCTGGCCCTTGCACTGTTGGATTGCCAGCCTCAAGGTCCCGCTCCCACACTGCAGGAGATAACATCATTAAATCAGGAGTCGGACATTTTTTGGTTATAAACAGGAGTCTCCCTGACATGCTAGGATACTTGGTGAGCCTAGCTATGTGTTTAATGAGAAATATGGACACCACAACTCCCATTGGAGCCAGTGAAAATACTCAGCACCCCCCTTGACTGGGCCTTTAGAAATTATACATACAAAAATTAAATATTAGAACTTGTTTGGGCTATGCTATCACAGATTTACCGTTTAGTTGTTTAGTTTAATAGTCAAAAATCTGTGTGTGGATTCAACATATTAAAGACTCCACAACAGTAAAAACAAAGACTACCAAAAATGCAGGGCAGTGAATTTTAAGGTACTTTAATTAGGATAAATATTTAAATTCTCTTCCTCCACACTCATAAGAAGCATTTCAGGAACTCTGGTAGAAGACACAGGAAGAAGATATCTACATCAGGCTACTGAGAGGCATTTCATTTGCTATTATCCCTCTTTGTTGTTGGTATGTGGTCTCACAAAGCATGCATCATAACATGTGAATTACTTGTGGAGCACTTAACACAGGCCTTAACAAAGAGTGTAAGATTATGTTTCCTTGCCTGGTAAACACAGTCACAGCTTTGTCTGTGAGCATAGGGGCTTCTCAACTGATACCTGCAAAAAAGAGGGAAGCTCAGGGTTTGCAAAGTGTCAGTATATGTGCCTCATTGTGAGCAGGAAGCTCACAAAAGACCCAATGCTGTGACATCCTGAGATCCTCCGAGAGGGGGAATAGAGGGCACTCAGCACCTCCTAGAACTAGGCTCAATAAAATCTGTAGGTATTGAACAGTCTGCCATACCTTGAAGTCTTACTATGTTTTAAGAAATGCTGAGTACCCACGAGTCCCAACAGCCTGATTCCCCACTACCTTGCTCCTCATGTAGCCATTTACTCTTGTGTAAAGTGAGTGCAAAGTGGATGTATACAGCCACCAAATAAGAATGCACCGTGCACAGACATAAATGACAACACAAGGCACAGGAAAGATCAGATGATTGAGGTGATATACTTTATTGGATCAACATCTGTTGGTGAGCGAGACAAGTTTTCGAGCATACAAGTAGAAAGCAGTAAAGTATGAAGTCCAATTTATCTGGTCCGACAGATCTTTACCTACATTAGAGTAGGGCTTATTTGGGAAAGAATGAGACTACTCAAGCAGTAAGGATTTGTAAAATTGGGTCCATTATGCTCAGATCCTCAGCTCCACTGACTTCAGTGTGAGTCTAGGGTGCTCAGTATTTCCCTGCAAGGTGCTAAGCACCTCCTCTATCAGGCTGCTGAATTATATAGTCTAATGATTTTTCAGTTCAATCAGAAAGGGGTGGGGGATGGGGGGGAATGTGCCTGAGAACAGAATTTGACCCTTTCCCCCAAAGCAGCATGGCAAGAATTAAATCTTTTGAAATAAGAAGAGAGGAAAAAAACAAGCAAACAAAAACCCACCCTGTGATCTTTTCACACTAATCTTGACAAAACGTGATGTATGCAAAACAGTAATTGCAATAATAAAGCATAAGGAAACGCTAGGTCTCTGAATGTGTCATTACCGACAACTAAATAAGGGTAAAATTATTAGCTTCTTTACTACTGATTTACTTATTTATTTATTAGTCTTTGTCCTTTTCCCCGCCATTCCTCAAGCTCTCTCTTTATTCTCCTTCTGTGTAAATTGATATTAACCAAAGTTTACCTTTTTTAAAAAGGTACTAGCTATTTAATTTTGGGGAAGACACTGTATTGATCTCTTTTTTATTTTAAATTTGTTATGAAGAATGCTAGTCTGAGTTACATGTGAATATGTCAAAGTGCAATATACCTATATAGAGTAAGTTATTCATTTTTGAGAACGTTATCTAATATTGAAAACAAAATGTATTTATATGAACATTTCACTATTCTACTTAATATATTAGTAACCTTACATAAGTAATTGAATGTTTAAGTTTTTTTAAAAGATGCATATATTTCAGTTCAGTATATGGAATAATCTGCCATATACATTGTGTGATTTATTACTTTTCTTACCATGATGTTGGTCCTGAAAACTAGCAGTGTAATCTCTCTTTTGTTTCCTACTTATATTTTTTATTTTAATAAATGGCCATATTTAAAATTTTAAAACTCTTAGTGTGAGGATTTGATTTCTGAACTAAAGATATTCCACCAGGTTATTGTAATCTTGTTTTTTTAAAAAAACCTCACTACCATTTTCATATCAGTCTTTGAAATACCATGGTATTACTTTCATAGGTATTTAATCAACCAGTTCATTTCCAATAATTTTGGGGCTTTAAGGGCTCGATTCAAAGCCTCATTGAAGTCAACAAAAAACCTCCCACTGGTTTCAATGGGGTTTTGATTAGGCCATAACTTATTAACAATAAACATTCTGAAGACTTTTTTGTGAGGGGACAGTTTGGGAAATAAAGCCTTGACTTTTTAGTCCACTATATGAGAGCTGCTGTTGACGATCCTTGCCTTTTTTAGTTTTGTGAAGCATCTTGCAATGACTGTTGTTAACTAGCCAATGTCTTGCTGTATTCTTTGTACCACCTAATTTTCCTATAGTAAAAACTTAACCAAGCACTCTCTGTCTCACTATTTAGGAAAATAAAATATTCTGGAGACAGAAGTATCTTGGTTGCAGAGAGGGGATTTTGTACTTGTTTTATTGTTTTAACTTACATTTCAAATACCTACAATTAGGGGGGGGGAAAAAAGCTGTGAACAGAGAGTCTAACAATTACTTGCAGGCATATGTCCTTGAAAAATCACAGCTATGAACAAAGTCATTTTTAAACACAATGCTGAGTATATAATATTATAATAATGAGACCTGTTATCTATTTGAATTGTAAACATTGATATTTTCATAACTAGAGAATATATTGTGTTTGACAAACTTGTTTGTATTATAATAAATTCTGAGCTGGTGCATAAAAACTCTTTTATTGTAATGTTTGGAGTCATGATGTTTATTTTGTAGATGTTTATGACAGTTAGTGTGTAGGGCCCATGCTTGCAACCCATGTTCAAGTGACTGCTCATTGAGTATAAGTGGTGGAATCAGCCCCATTCCATAAATAATGTATCTTCAAAACATCCATCATGTACGTATGTAATTATTGGGCCCGATTCTCCACTACCTTATGGACCAAATTCTCAGCTGCTTTAAATGTGCAAAACTCTATTGAAGTTAATGGGTCTGTGCCCATTTATGCTAGCAGAGGGTTTGGCCCATTTACATCTGCGCACAGTGGGCATGAAACCCTACCAACTCTGAGTGATGTAAACAACAATAAAAGATGCAAAGCAGCAGAGAATCAGGCCCACTGCTCCCACTGACTTCAGAAAAGTCCAGTAGGCTTAAAACTGGTGCAGTGAGATGGAAAGTCTGGCCTGGAGAGGTTACGTTGGCTAGTTTTTACCAAGGCCACAAAGTAGGTCAGTCGCAGAATTAGCAGCATTAATTTTCTTCTGAAGGGGAGTGGGTAATGTTCAGTCATCATGGGGGAAGTTGCCAGGGACAACGTGGCTCAAATAGGAGCACATGGAGGTGGGGAGTGGGAAGGGGAGGCCATCCTTGGGAATTGCCCACGATGTGCTTTACCCTTGGAAGCTTCGGATCTGCATGTTTTGGAAGCCATGTCCCTTTCTCTGCTTGGCTGCATGCCCCATGCCATTTGAGATGAACATATGGCACCACCTCCATGAGCTGAATGTCAACATTTTCTAAATAGGTTTTCCCCTCCAGCTCAGTTGCTTCAGCCCAGACTCAGATCTGGGGTCAATGCTTGAGTGTGTTTGATCTGTGGGGGATTGGTTGGGGCTCATGTCTAGCCATTATGTTAAACATGATTATTTCCATAAATTCTTCATGGCCACATGTGGGATACGGTTTCATATTTCTGACAGGTACTGTCGCATAAATGCAAAGAAAGGAACCTGATGGGGAAATAATAAAAAAAGGAAAATGGGCCAGGCATTTACTCATAATGGTGAGGCTCAATGACACGGTCTGTGCTGTCTTGAATCTGCAGCACTGTAAAGCCCCTGCTGGCATAGGAGACTCAACAATAGTCATCCAATGACCCATTTATAGCTTGCTTCCACCAGTGTGTAGCCTAGACAGGAATTGAGCTAGACTATGCAGCGCTTTTTCCTAGTTACAGAATACGGGTTATGGTTCCATCTACACCACACCGTGCAACAGTGCTGTAGCCAGGTCACAAATCAGCTATACTAGGTGGGTTCCAATTTTGATCACCAGTCTTGGACTGGCATCAGGCAAGATACCACAAAGAGTTTATAAATCCATTAGCTGTTTACTTGTCAAAATGATTCGTGCATTCAGCATCCTCCACTATTAATTTGGAAACAATTATTTCAAATTGCAAACGGGGGTAGGGTGGAAGAGTGCACCTCTAATGCATTCTGTGTTGAACTCACAATGACTTTTGTTTTAGGTGTTGAATTCTTAAAAACACTTTAAACCCACCAAGTGAAGCAGAATAAAACGCGACCTCACAGAGACTGATCCGTTAAATAATAATCCTGCTATTAGCACTCAGGCTGAATTTGACAGCTCTGCCATTATGACAACATGCAATTAATCCCCTGTAGTTGCCAGACACAACAAGGAGGTTGAAAAGTTCCAGTCCATTGTATATTGCAAATGAATTTACAATTAGACTGTCATTATTGATCAAGTAAATAGTTATTATAATCAGAAAAAATTATGGTGCAAAATTAAAGGTGCAAGCTTTTGAGTTCCTGCCTTGTAGACAGGAGAATCCACTGTGTATATTTGTACCAAACAACTTAATTTGCTTTCTGACACCTGAAGTTCTTCCTTTTCATTTACTCAGCTAGACCCTCTCCACAGCGTTCAGAAAAGCATGTTATTGATTAATAATAGTCACAAGATTAATTCAGTGTGGCACAGTAGCACCTAAAAGCCCTAACCGAGGTTGGAGCCTATGGTTCCAGACACTATAGAAACACATAGTAAGACACAGTCTCTGTCCTGAGGACTTTACAGTCCAAGCAGCCAAGACAGACGGAGGATGGCAGAAAGGAAGTATTATTTCCATTTTACATAAGGGAAATGAAGGCACAGGGCGATTAACTGATTCACCCAATGACCCCGGAGATCACAACACCCAAAGCAGGGAGCTGAGCCCAGACACCCCTATGGGACTGGAGTCGCAGGAGCTGCCACTGTGGGGTGAGTGCAGGGAGTGGACTCTGCAATCACCCCAGGACCTCCCACCCCTATCCCCGGGGAAAGAAACCACCCCTGGGGCCGTCCTGTGTGGATTCTGCAATGGGAGAGGCAACTCTTTCTACAGACCAATCAGGAAGGAAGGAACTCAGTGACGGAAGCCTTGGGGGAGATTTGCTTCCTCAGTGTCCACCCTAAAAATTTCACCATCCTGCTGTATGCTCATTGTTAAAAGGGCAATTAGGACTCACCTTTGGGACAAGGACTGTTCCTACCAGACACTAGGCTTAGAGGACTGGTGATACAAACTCGTAGCACAATGGGGCCCTGGTCCTGTGTGGTGATTCTGGGAGCTATCACAATACAAATAATAATACAATCTATGGTACATGCTTGTACTCTAGAGGGAGGCTGTCACCACAGCATCACCAAAACAAGTTGTCAAGTGCCAGGGGACCGCAAGATTTTAATCCTGTTACAGTCATGGGAGTGGATTACTGTGTGCTGCTTCCCCTTTCTTATTTCATTCCGGGTTTTGTTTACTAAATTCAAAGGACTGATAACTTGACACCTGTATGTTGTGTTCATTCCACTGATAAAGACCAAATTAATCCCTTTCAGGAAGGGCCTTAGATTCTGCAGAGATATAAAACAAAAACAAAACAACCCACAGATTTCTTTTTCCTCACCTGTTACAACATGGTAACGGGTTTGCAGAGTCCAGCTATTCTGATGTTGCGGCCTGTTCTTGGGCTGGTTGAAAGTCCTGAATTCCCAGTGATTCCACTGGGAATTAAGGGCACTCCGGCACTAGAATGTTAAAGGTAGCTGCATGGGAGTGTGTGCAAATAGATCATGTAGCTAGTAGATTTCAGCAGCACTTAGCCCGCCATTAAGTTCAATCTTTTTTTTTTTAATTAATGCAACTGAACTAGGTAATCATGACTTTATAATATCCCAGTGGTCTTACTCTTCGGCAGTGCTGTTCTGTTTCTAGGATAGAAAATAAATTAAATGCAAGCCAAGGTGCTGAGTGTATAGGGATCTAGCCGAAGCTTTGACTGATTGCCACCAATTTACCTGAAAATCAAAAACAGTTACAGATATTTAGGAACATAAATGACCCCAAAGCCCAAGGACAATTTATCCAAAGCAATTACACATGTCAGTGAATATTGTTTAAAATGGCCTTTAATAAAGGGCACCTTCCTCCACTTTGTACAGCTAGATAAAAAAAAGGTAAAAACCAAATTGTCTGATGTCTTTTTTCTTCCCCAGTTTTTTTAGTACAGAGCATTTCAACAAAAGTCTTCCTCTAATTGAATTGCAGGCTGTTTCTGGAGACAGACAATTATGCTGAACAATGTAGCATTAGCCAAAGAAAGAAAGAGTGCTCAGATCTCCCCCATTTTGGATTATATCATTAGGTGGCTCAGCTGAAATATATTCCTGTCCCTTCTGCTGGGGATCTTAGGGCAGCTGTTTCCCCATAGGAAGAGAAACAAGTGGTGCAGAGAAGCAGGCTATTCTGGGCTTTGTTCTCTATTGCCCTGCCTCTTGTGCATTCACCTACCCCAATGCACAATAAGCACAAGTGCCACCATTCTGATTGGGCGGCATTTCAAAGCCACTTTGCACTGGTGTAAATGCCTGCATGAGGTGCAGTTGGCTAGAGAATTAGGTCCAGAGGGAGTAAGTCCTGTTCACCGGGGACAGGGATGACAAATGCAGCTTTCCACTTTCCAGTCCAGCTGGAACATTTGCATTGCTTCCGTTTCACCAGCAACTTCTCCACTGGAATCTCTTTCCTAGCTGCAGCACACTAGCCCCTCCACCCCGGCCGAGAAACCTTAGCCCAATGCTGCCGTGTCCCAGCCGCAGCACATGGCCGCTGGTGTTTTCACTACTAATCATGGCACAGGTGAAGCTGAGGATTGACCCCACATTGTGCTTTTGTTCTGTAACACAAAGAACATGAAAGGCTTCAGTAGCCCCAGGTGTAGGGGAGGAGCCGCCTCCTGACACCACAATGACCATCTACCCTGGGTTTCAGAGTAACAGCCGTGTTAGTCTGTATTCGGAAAAAAGAAAAGGAGTACTTGTAGCACCTTAGAGACTAACCAATTTATTTGAGCATGAGCTTTCGTGAGCTACAAACTCTGTTCCAACCACATGCCTGGCCCTTGTGCCCAGCCCTCCACTTCCTCCTCCTAATGCCTACTCTCCTATCTCCCCACTGTACCTCATCAACCTCATCCCCTTTCTACCCCACTTTTCAACTACCCTGTTCCCCCCTCCCCCACGAACACACACACACAAAGTCCCGTGGAATGAACAATATATCTGCCACTCCTCATCCTGACCTCTTGGTCATAAGCTGTATCCTTCCCACCCTCCACCCCCTTTGTTTGTTTGTTGCCTTTTTAGACTGTGAGCAATTTGGGGGAGAGACTGTCCCTTCCTGTGTGTTTGTACAGTACCTAGCCTGGGGCTTCTGAGCGCTACAGTTACAAATAGTACATCATCATCATCATAATGTCCACTTCAGCTGACCTGTCTGGGATTCCCATCTCATCAATGAGAGTTAAGGGTGCTCAGCAGCTCACAGGAGGGAGCTTATGTTTTTCTAAATGCATCCTTTTCAAAATGTTGAGGAATCCTAACAGACTGGTGGGATGCTGGGGGAGGAGGGTTCCTTGAAAT